GTCATGGACTCTGACCCACTTGCGCCCTCATTCATAAATCTCGCTCTAAATAGGTTGGAGGCTCTAGTCTGGTTGGAGGCTAATAGAGGGCTTTTGTGCGTTTCGACAAGAGACCACGCTTCAAATTTGAAGCTGGAGGAAAAGCTGACTTGGTCGTTTCCTCTTCTGAGATCATCTTCAGATTTAACCGGTTAGAGGATGCGCCAACAATGTGAAATGAAAACGACGGTTGCGTAACAAGACAAATAATAATGCTGTAGCGGGTTTTGGGATCATCATCAAGAGAGAATGATGATGATAAAAACCGGAAGACTGAGTAGATCCCGGCGGCCAATTTTTAACACGCCAAAGCGACATTAACTGTGGAGTCTAAAGTGGTTAATAATTCTGATGGCTGCCAAAAAACGAGGAGATCGGAGTAAAAGCATCGTTTTATTTTGTCTAGCGTTCATTAATAACAACAGCCCCCCATAAACAACCACGTATCCCACTGTCTGGTCCGAGGGGATGAAATATTACGTCTTAGGGCCCTTAAGGAACACTCAACACTGGCTGAAGAACCGAGCCCATTAGAGCGACAAGTTTTTTCATTGCGAGCAAAAATGCTTGGAATTTAGTTCCTGCAATTGCCCGAAATAGATTTGGAAGTAATCGAATAAATCAATTTTTAGATTTCGGTACGAAAGCGCGAGCGTGGGCGCCTAACGTGTGCGACTTTCGAAGTAATTTTGGCGCAACCCATTCACGCGCCACTTGCGAATTCTAGCGCAAACCTACACAAGTTGGGATTTGATGAATAACAGCCCAATAAAATAGTCTAAATGCAATAACAAATAAGTGAGTCAGGGGGCAATTTTTAAAATCGATCCGTTGTTTTTCCAGCTATTTCAGCCGGAGCCACCAGTCGATTACATGCACAGGAAACATTGTTCTTAATTGGTCGATTAATCAAATATTCGTTTCGGAAAAACAAAAACCAATATTGAATGTTTAAAGCTTTTTTTCCTCTGCACAAACAATACGGCGACACGTCAAACTCGTTGTGTTTATCTTCGGGCCCATTAAAAACGTGTTAATAAATATGCAAGCAAGAATCGGGTAATTATGCACGATCTGTCCGCCGCTTGTTTTCAAACTGTCCAGTGTTTTGGTGCATCCAATTGCTCACGAATGTCGCATCAATTCCCGATGCATTTCGCTGATTTGTCTTCCAGATGCAATCAATTCGGAGCTTTTTTTAATGTGGTCGTCTAGCGAATTCGACTCGAACCCTGCAGATGTGAGGCTCGGGGAGACTGAAGAATTTGCCATCTTTTTTGCCTCTAGAATTTGTCTCCGATTCCTGATGGTTTTTGAGTAAATGGCGCATTTGCTAGGGCCCCCGAGTCTAGCGACAATGTTGCCTAATTAATTGTTTTACCCCAAACTAGTGGGCGTAGCCAAAAAATGCAAAACCACAAAAAGTATTTAGATAAACCGGACTATTGAAACCTGGTCTTTTCGCGATCCGAATCCTGCCGGTCGGGAAATTGCACAGGAATATTCTTGCATGTTGGTTAATATGCTAAAGCTTCACCACTAGATGCAAAAGGTTCTTGAAAACACCTGCATCCGAATGCCCGATTTTTCGCCAACTTTTTTATACTTTGCATTTTTTCCATATATTTGTCGGCTTCAGAGTAAATTAATAGTTTACTGGACGGCACCACTCAATGCAGTCTAGCAACTGGGTTCTCAGTTGGTGACAAGGTTGTCTATTTTATTTATTTACTCCCAAACCATGGAGCGCATTGAAATTATGCAAGGCGCATAAAAGTTTGGAAACGAATGACGCTATCCGAAGATAGTTTTTAGGCTGACGAAGTTCGACCGGTTGGGAAGTTGCAAAGGAAAATCTTCCGATGTTGGCCAAAACATATAAAAGAGTATATTTTACAAAAAAGCTTCACTACTAAGAATAATATGTTTCTGCTAATAGCTGCAGTAGAGTGCAGGATTGTTCCAGAAAGCTTGCTGTTTGTAGCGTTTTTTTCATATATTTTTTTAAATTTTATAGTAAATAATTTATTTTATTGGTGGCAGTCTAGCGACTACGTCCCCAGTTGGTGATCCGGTCGTCTATTTTATTCGTTTACTCCCAAACTACGAAGCGTATGAAAAATGTGCAAGAAAGCAAAAAATTGCCGAATAAATTGCGCTAATTGAGTGAGTTTTTTGCTACTGCAAAAAAATGTTCAGGGTTGTTCAATACGCCGAAGCCAAAGTGAGTGGATTTTATATAAAAAATTCACCACCAGGTTTAAAAGGTTTTCATTTGCAAGTATCTAGACTAGAGCGCTCGATTATTTAGGAAACTTTTCTTTATATAGGATTTTTTCACATCTTTGACGGTTTTAGCAAAAATAATGGATTTTCTGACCAGCACGTGAATGCAGTCGAGCCACGCGTCCAGTTTGGGACAAGGTTGCATATTTTATTTATTTACTCACAAACTACAGATCGGATTGAAAATATGTAAGGGGGCAAAAAGGTTCCCAATATTCATTTTCTAATTCCTTTTTGGTGATGCAGGTTTGGTCGTGAGGAATTTTCGGCTGCTTGAGAAGGCGCAAGCCATGAGTGAATGCTGTTTAATCCCCAAATGCCCCAGAGACTTTTACGTAAAACCTTCCGAACTCGAATTAAAAAAATGTCTAAAGCTTCTGGGCGGACAGCTCGGTTGATTTAGAATATTTTTTGCATCTAGTGGTTTTTTCGTAGCTTTGATAGTTTCGGAGTAAATAATTAGTATATTTACAAGTAATTTAGGCCAAAGCCACAGTTGCTTGCAAGGCTGTATATTTTATTTTTTTGCTCCCAAACCATGCCACGCATGTAAAATCTTCAAGAGACCAAAATGTTTGCAAATACATAGTATTAAATGAAAATAGTTTTGTTCTGGAAAAATTATTGGAAATGTGCAATACAAAATTCTTGAGTATTGGTTACCTCAAAAATGCCTAAGTGAGCACATTTTTTGTGAAATTTTTGCAACTGGAACCAACCGGCTTTTGCAAAGCTTTGCTTAAGACTCCCGGATTAATTTAGAATATTTTTTATATCTTATATTTTTTCGTATCTTTGATAGTTTTGTAGTAAATAATTAATATATTGGGTCGAACCAGCTGAATGCAATTTAGACAGTTTGGTTACAAGGTTGCCTATTTTATTTTCTTACTCCCAAACCATGGGACATAATTAAAATCTTTAAGGAATCAAAAAGTTTTCAAATAAAAGGCGCTATCAGAAAATGGTTTTTTGCTAGGAAAATTCTTGTCGGTAGGAAATTTGCAACGGAAAATTATTGAGTATTACAAAAATGCTTAGGTGAGCACATTTTCTGCGAACTTTTTGCAATTGGAACCAACGGGCTTTTCTAAAGCTCTGGCGTAGGCTCCCGGATTAATTTAGAACATTTTTTGTATCTTGCATTTTTTCCGTATCTTTGGCAGTTTTGTAGTAAATAATTCATATATTGGGTCGGACCAGCTGAATGCAATTTAGACAGTTTGCTTGCAGGGTTGCCAATTTTGTTTTTTTCCTCCCAAACCATGAGACATAATTAAAATCTTTAAAGGATCAAAAAGTTGCTAAATAAAACGCGCTATCTTAAAACGGTTTTTTTCTGGTTAAATTGTTGTCGGTTGGGAATTTGCAACGGAAAATTCGTCAGTATTGGCTACTACAAAAATGCCTAAGTGAGCACATTTTCTGTGAACTTTTCCAAACTGAAACCAATGGGCTTTTCCAAAGCACTGCTGAAGACTTGCGGTTTAATGTGGAATATTTTTTTCACCTTGTGTGTTTTTCGTAGCTTTTATAGTTTTGGAGTAAATACTTAATATATTGGGTCGTACCAGCTGAATGCAAATTAGACAGTTCGGTCACAGTTGCTTGCAAGGTTGCCTATTTTTTTTTTTACTGTAGAACTGTTGAGCGCATCGAAAATTTGGAAGAAAGAAACATTATTCTAAATAACTAGCGCTTTTTGGAAATAATTTCATCCTGGTCTAATTCCTACCCGTTGGGCAGTTGCAATGGAAACTTGCGTGAATGTTGGTTAATTCGGAAATGCCTAAGTGAACGGATTTTACGTGAAATCTTTTCAACTGGACCTAACGGGTTCTTGCAAACGTTTGCCTTCGACTGCCTGTTTAATTTAGAATATTTTTGGTCCCACCATTTTTTTCATGGCTTTGATGGTTTTCGAGTAAATAATGAACAAATTGGATTCTACTGGTTGGTGGCAAGGTTGTCTATTTTATTCTTTTGCTCCCGAACCATGAGGCAGATTGAAAATCTATAAGGCAGCGAAAAGTTGCTAAAGTAATCACACTATCTGGTGTTCATATTTTCCTGGTAAAGTTCCTGCCGGTGGGGACTTCGAAAAAAAATCTTCAATATTTTTCAACCCGCAAGTGCCTAAGTGAGTTTATTTTATGTAAAACCGTCCCAACCCAGATCTAAGGCATTTTTGCAAAGATTGATTGTTTTGGTTTCTTTCGAATGATTTGTTTTTCTGCTATCGCGATGAATTTGGAGTAAATAATTAATTCACTGGGACGCACCACTGAATACAGTCTAGCGACTACGTGTGCAATCGGTGGCAAGGTTGTCTATTTTATTTTTTTCTCCGAAACTGCTCGATGTAGCAAAATTCTCCCGGAGAGCAAAAAGTTTCCAAATAAACGACACTTTATTAAACCCATTTTACGTAAGGAACTTGTTCTGGAATTTAGCAATATTTCCAACAGAGAACTAACTTTGCACTGCATTCAAGCAACCTGCCTACTAACTCGAATAACTCGAAAACCATTAAATCTACGAAAAAACTGCTGGAGCAAAAAATTCTGGCCAATGAATCAGGCTTTCGGATGGTGTGACATACAGGGTGTTTGGCGCAGACCAACAACCCCAAAATTGAGAAAAGCAAAGCACACCGCTGCCCTGCACTCATTTACCTTCAAAGTTGTTGGACAGTAGAAAACGGCACTCAGCACTCTCTGGACGCGTTCGCAATGTTCTAACTGGATCTCGGGAAAAAGTTGCAAAAAACTGGCAAAAAACGGAAAGCAGGTCCGGTCGCGTGGCCCCGATAGAGCACTTGTTGAGCTCAAGAGTTCGGTCATGCACTGAGTGTTCTCGCGAGTGGTTCCAAGCCGACTTGGGCTCCCAAAAAAATTCCTGCTGGCGGGGAATGCATGCAGCGAGTGATGCAGCCGCGCGACCGACAGGTGAGTGCACCTGCGGCTTTGGCGGAGGCAGCGGCAGCGGATGCTGCGAAGCGTGGCTCGAGAAGAAGCGCGCTACAGGAGTCGCCGACTTGCAGGAACAGATGCACCGCCAACTGACCAATGGGGCCTCTTCGGATGCATTGTTGCACTGTCTTTTATTCGTCATCATGCCATCCAACTTGCGCTAATGGGGCCTCAAGTCCTGGCAGCATAAGCTATTGCTCTATTCCCAAAGGTTTTCAGGGGCCAATCAGCAATTTCTAGGGTATTTTTTTCTAAAACTGGCCCCTAAGCCAAAAGTTGAGTTACTAGACCTTTTTTAGGAAATGTCATTGTCTATCTGTCCGGAAGTTTTAAAATCTAAGCGAAATTGAGTGAGTTATGAGAGACAAAGTGAATCGATGCCGATGATGATTGGGCGCACTCGAAGCATTGGCAGTGCGTCCGCTCAAAAACAGTTTCAAAACACAAATGTTTGTTTCGGCGGGTTTTTAGCCGTCTTATAATAGTTGTTTTTAAAAGTATCTTGTCTTGAAACATTAAGTGTTTGGAAAGTGCGTGTTTAGCTCCAACAATTAGGGCCAAAGCCTGAAAGCGAAGAACGGAAATGAGTCGATGCCTTTGCGTTTTTGCGCCAGACAATTCTGGCGCGCTTGATCTATTTACAGTCGATTTTCCCAAAACCATGTAAATTTCACCGGATTTCTCAAAGGCAGAGTTTTTAGGCAATTTCTTTGTCTACAAGATGTTTATTACACATCCGAAATGGCAGCAAAGGTTCATGAGCTATGAACAAAAGAGTGAGCCAGTATACGGTTGGACGCATTAAAGGCGCTGATTTTCCTTTCCAAATAGCAAATGTCTATTTAAGAGACTTTTTTAGACAATTGAATTATCTAGAAAGTGCGTTTGACGATTTTTCAATTAGTGCAAAATTAGGTGAGCTCAGAACGAAAGAGTCAGTCAATGCATACTTAAGCACCCTTGAACTCCATGAAGTTCAAACAGTCGTTTTTCGAAAATTGCTATTAACGACCGCTAGCCAAAACATATGTCTAACGCTAATTCTTTTATCTACAATATTTTTATTGAAATTCTAAAATCCCAACAAAAGTCCCTGAGTTATGTGCAAATGAGTAAGTCGCTACATGGGCGGGCGGACTAGTTGGATCAAGTGTTGGTTTTTTCGAAAACAGTTCACAACTGCCAATTTTAAAGCACCGGCCTTTATAGAGAATTTAATTTTCTAGAAAGTGCATATCTGGCTTTCGAAATGAGAGCAAAAGTAGGGGAATTAAGAGGGAAAGACACTCGATGTAGTCCTTGGTGCGGTTGAAGTTTTGTCAGCCAATTTCCTCAAAAACTTGTGAGTCAAACCAATTTTTCCAAAAGCCGCTTTTTCACACAATTTAATTGTCGAAATGGTCTTTGTTGAAGTTCTGAAATATCAGAAAATATCTGTGAGTTGGAAGCAAAAGAGTAAGTCAACGCCCCGTGGGCGCGCTCGAGGGATTGAGCGTTGGTTTTCTCGGAATCCGTTCATAATCTCGAAAGCATCTTTGAACACTTTTTTCAGAGTATGTAATAGTCCAAAAATTGCGGTTGAAGATTCCGAAGCTCCTGCAAAAATCTGCGAATTAAAAAGAACAAGGGAAGTTGATGCCTAGTTTGGCGCGCTTGATGTCTAAACATTCGATTTTCTTGAGAACAAGTACTTAATTCGAGTTTCTCGAAAAATTGCATTTATGTACAATTTAGTTGGCTGCAAGATGTTTTTTTAAAAATGTAAAGTCGCGGTAAAACTGGGTGAGTTATAAACAAACAAGTGAGCCGATGCATTGTTGGGCGCGATACAAGGATTCAGCGTTTTTTCGTGGAAAAATAATCACCGCAAAGCAACATCTAAACTACAGTTTTGGAAATTTTTTTTCCCAAAACCATGTAAATTTCACCGGATTTCGCAAAGGCAGAGTTTTTAGGCAATTTCTTTGTCTACAAGATGTTTATTATACTTCCGAAATGGCAGCAAAGGTTTATGAGTAATGAACAAAAGAGTGAGCCAGTACACGGTTGGGCGCATTAAAACGATAAGGCGCTGATTTTCTCGAAAACCTTTCCTAATCGCAAATCTTTTATTTATGAGACTTTTTAGACAACTGAATTATCCAGAAAGTGTGGTTGAAGATTTTTCAATTAGTGCAAAATTAGGTGAGCGAAGAACGAAAGAGTCAGTCAATGCATACTTAAGCACCCTTGAACTCCTTGAAGTTTGAACAGTCGTTTTTCGAAAATTGCTATTAACAACCGCTATCGAAAACATATTTTTTAACATTAATTCTTTTATCTACAATATCTTTATTGAAATTCTAAAATCGCAGCAAAAGTCCCTGAGTAATGAGCAAATGAGTGAGTCGCTACATGGGCGGGAGGACTAGATGGATCAAGTGTTGGTTTTTCCGAAAACGGTTCTCAACTGCGAGTTTTGAAGCTGCAGCATTTGTAGATCATTTAATTGTCTAGAAATTGCATATTTGGCTTTCGAAATTAGAGCAAAAGTAGGGGAGTTAAGACGGAAAGAGACACTCGATGTAGTCCTTGGTGCGGTTGAAGTTTTGTCAGCCAATTTCCTCAAAAAATATCAGAAAATGTCGGTCAGTTGGGAGCAAAATAGTAAGTCAACGCCCCGTGGTCCCACTGGAGGAATTTAGAGTTGGTTTTCTCGGAAACCGTTCATAATCCCGAATGCTTCTTTGAACATTTTTTTCAGAGTATGCAAAAATCTGCGATTTAAAAAGAAAAAAGGAAGCTGATGCCTAGTTTGGCGCGCTTGATGTCTAAACATTCGATTTTCTCGAAAACAAGTACTTAATACTAGTTTCTCGAAAAGCTGCGTTTATGTACAATTTAGTTGCCTTTAAGATGTTTTTTAAAAATCTAAAGTTGCGGTAAAAATGGGTGAGTTATGAGCAAACAAGTGAGCAGATGCATGGATGGGCAAGCTACAAGAATTCAGCGTTTTTTCCATTGAAAAACCATAATAACCGCAAAGCGACATCTGAACTACAGTTATGAAAAAAATATTTAACTAATTAATAGTTTAATGCGATGTAAATGTTGCTAACAGACGCTAATTCCCTAACCCGAAAATAGTTTAGGGACCAATCAGCGATTTCAAAGGCATTTTTCCTGAAACAAACTCTTAATGCAAAATTTGCCACAAGAACGTTTGTTCAGGAAATCGTAGTGTTTATAACGCCTGTGAAAATTTTCAAAATCGGGACCAAAGTCATTGAGTTATTAGAGAAAGAGTGAATCGAGGCTTGGTTGGACGCACTCGAAGCATTGGCAGTGCGTTAACTCAAAAACGCCTTTTTAATGCGGGTTTTAGTTCAGGCGAGTTGCAGCAATGCGAAAAGAGGGGTAGATTCATGTTTCAGCAGAGTTGAAGTCAGTTTTCTGGAAAATCGTGTTTCCATAGTTGTGTTTTGAAACCAGCTTGATTAGAGGTTTTCTATCTCTAGAAAGTGCGTGTTCAGTTTCTGAAATTAGGGCAAATGTGAGTTAAGCAAAGAAAGCCGTCGTTGGATAGTTTAACCGGCTTCACCTGTTAACCGTCGATTTTCTTGAAAACATGTAGATTTAACAAGTTCTCCAAAAAAAGGTTTCTAGAGACATTTTTAGAGAAGTTCTAAAATCGCAGCAAAAGTGAGTTATGAACAAAAATGTGAGCGGATGCATGATTGGGCGCATTACAAAGAATGAGCGTTAATTTTCTCAGAAACCATTCCTAATCGCAAATTAAAAAATAGCATATTTCACTGTCTCTCTTTAGTGCAAAAGTCTGTGAGTTAAGAAGGCGAAAATCTCGATAAATTGTCTGGTGCCGTCAAATTTTAAACAGCCATTTTTTTCTCAAAAAACATGACGTTGCCGCCTTAAAGGTGCTTAAAAAACGGTGTTATGAGGGACGCACTAGATGCCAAGCTTATATTTCTAAGCCATGCTAGAAGGATTAAGCGTTGATTTTCTTCGAAACTGTTTTAGCCGCAAACTTATTAACATACACTTTTTCAGAAAATTTAATTGTTTAGAAAACTATTTTTCTTTGGCAAAATTAAGCCAGATGTCGGAACGAAAGAGTTTCATAATGCATTGTTTGGCCACGATAATCTTTAAAACCCTAATTTTCTATAAAAGATGGTAGTTTTTCGATAATTTAGGGTCTTACTCGAACATCCAAGAAAACTTGCAACCATTTATTAACAAAGAAATGAGTCGATGCATGGTTGGGTGCACAAGAAGTATTAAACTTTGATTTTCTCAAAAAAACTGTCTACTGGAAAATGTTGCCTAGAAGTTCGAAAGGAAAAAGCACACAATTTGGCGCGCTTGATGTGTAACAGTAGACCGGACCATAATTTTTGACTTTCGGGGACTTTCTCCCCTTCTCTGTTCTCTCTCGTCTACAGCCGTTAAAAACTCTGTGCAAAAAGGAATTGGACTTTTAACATCGACTTTTCGCGTGCCTCTAAGCACCTCAAGTTTCCGATTGATTTTATCTGGCAAAGTCGTGTTAAAACCGTTGTTTTGTCGTACGCATTTTTCTAGTGTCGTCCAAAAATAGTGAAACTCGAAAATTTGTGAAAAAAGCTTTATTTTAAATTATTTATTTTTCATGTGTTTCGAGCTGCTGATCCGAGTGGAGCGCTTATTTTCTGTCTTCGTATATATGATTTTTTTATGAAAACATTTTGCACGTTTTTTCAAATTCAACTGCATTTTCCCCATTTAGACGTCGTTTCTTTCCTTCGTACAGGGATTTTTCAAAATCACCACTGATTTTCAAAAATTTGAATTATTTTTTTATTGGTTCTTCCTCACTCGACTTTTATTTTTGTTGATCTTTTCTTTGCTTCAATTTTTTTTATTAATCATTTTAAAATCAAGATAGGATCACTGCGCACTTTTGTCACCTCCTGACAAATATGAAAATTTTAGTGTGATTTTTCCTGATTCTTTAAAGTCTATATAATTGTTCAACACAAACGTCGATTATCAGAAAGATGTTTCTTCAGTTCGTGTCGTTGGATTTCGTCTTGGAAGCGCAGCAGTTTCTAGTAAGTTTTCTTCTCGTAAGCGTGTGTTATGTATGTTTGCTTTACGATTTTTTGTTGGGGTTTTTTACGAACGATTTGAACATTTTTTGATCATTGGCGTTATTTTCAGTCCCAAAAACTTCTCCGATATCAGCTGGTGTG